AGTGGCGCGAGCCGTAAATCACCGATAACAGCCTCTGTCACTCTGTTTTCTGACAAAAAGAATTCACGGCTATCTATTGAACTATAATTGTAGGTTTTCGCGTTGGTCTACTCGTAGATCGAACTTCTTAGCTTCGTGCTTTAATCACTCACCAGGTTCGATGGATTACAGCGTGACCAATTCAATAGCTGCTTGCTCGTGGTCACGATTTAGTGCACATTTGCATTTTAAACATTTTTCACAATAGGACGTAAATGATAGCCGGAATTTAATTATCCAATTCGCGAAAGTGGATAATAATTTTCTTATTAGCCACGAGAACTTAGGATTGAAGATGTTTCTGATATGGTTGCCATGGTGCACTCTATTTGGCGCGCTATGCAGGGTGGCTCGCGCAACTGAAACATGTATCTTTAAAAGGGTTGAATATAGAATTCTACAAGACAATGTTCAATTATATGGCATGAAACGAAATAAAATTTTTGCAATTTTAGATATCGATACAACGCAGTCCATTTTTATTATTTATACAGTAAAATCTCCGTTTTGTATAGTATGTACATTTCTATTATATGAGCTTTTATTATTTGAATGCTGTTTTGTATAAACATTCTAATGTTTGTTGTTTATAATATCCAATTGCATTAATATTTGGTTATTCAAACATTTTGTTATATAAATATTCTATCATTTAAACATGCTATTATATGAATGTCTTGTTATTTGATTATTCTACTATATGGATATTTTATTATATAAATAGTTTGTTATATGAATCTTTAATTATGATACATCAACAATTTTTATTTTAAGGTTTCTGTTGCGTTCCGAACACTGCAACTCTCACAGTGAAAGTTTCGCGGGGTTGTAAGGCCCGTTTACACAGATGCGACAATGTTTCTGGAATGCGGCCTACTCCAAATTAACACGTTAAGTGCTACGCCGGTTCTCAGGGACCGGCGCTAGACTTGCCGTTCGGGCCCGGCCCAGACTAGGACCAAAAGGTGCTAGCTTTTGGTGTTAAATTCTTCGCCATCTTTGGACCTAACGTTTGGGAATTACTGTTATAACAATTGCTACAGTATTTCCGAGTTTTACGAACACTTCGCCCGCTGTCGGTGGCCCACTTGACGGTCGAGTTTGGGCCTGACCGAAACGGCAAGCAAAACGGGCACTTAATGTGATGAGAACTAGACCTGGTTAGGGGTGAACTAAAAAGTTTTGATGTGTGACTGTCTCTCACGCTGAGTTGATTGCCGTGAGTCTGTCTTGACTGTCTAGTCGTAATGCTTGTCTTGTTTTCTTGGGATTTTTAGGAGAACTCCTTGGTGAGTGTGTGTCTTCTTATTGGTTATGAATAATATTGGGGGTTTGTGTTAGCTTCGACGTCCTTCTTTGGTGGTGGATGTTTAAACAATTTGGGTCCTTATGCCTATCGTCTTAAGGGTGATTTATTGACCCTTGCTGAGGTTCATCCAAGTGGTGACTACTAGGTGATAACAAGTGTATACGAATCAAGGGACGCTGGCAATAAGGACATAAACAGTCCTTCACTTAACTTGGGACGTTCGGTCCTGGGGCCGTAACAGTTTCGTTATTTAAAAATTCTATTATATCATCATTAGTATAATATTAGTGAAATCGACATAGCCTGCCATGTGATAATATAATAATATTAACTAGGTAATATTACTATTATACTTTAATATCATTGTGGTAATTACATACTAGGAGTAATGTACTTGGTCATGTACAAATAATAATAACTGCGTGTCATAGTAACGTAATCGAAATAGAAAATAAAAATATTGGCAATTGAAATATCATGTGACATAATTGAAAAACATAAAGGGGAAAAATATGCAAGAAATTTAATGTAAAATATGGTGTAGCAAAATTAACTATCATAAGATTGATTCCTCAAATTTGACTTAAAAAATATTGTGTTGTCTTAATTTTTTATTATATGAATGAGAGTATCGGTAAATAAATTGCATTTATTCAATTTCATTCAGTTTTAGTTATTAAATAAAATTAAGTGCTCACTATCTGCTCTTCTATTGTGTAAAAATTCTCTCATGTGAACATTTTTGTCTCCCTATTAGGTTCATCGACGTCAATCTCTTCGGACGTCAAACAATGGAGATTGTACTGTAATGATATTACTAAATTGACAAGTTATTGGTTAGGTTAAGTTAGATTTCCGTCAAGGTTTTCACGATTTTACGTCAAATATAAGAATTACGTCACTTGTATTGTCCAATACTTTTAGTGCTGAAAACTAGAATTTATTAGTAGCTTGTCGAATTATATTAATAATATTAGTTCAATTGTGCAAAAACTAAATAAAATTCAATATTTATATACACTAGTTTTGCTTTTATTTCATTTAAATTTTACATTTCATGCATTAATGAATGTTATTTGTACATCTACTATAAGAAAAATATGAAAGTTTATACATCGTAAAACTTTTTAAATAATATAATTATTAAACGATAAACTAATTTTTGATTAGTATAATTAAATTTTTGAAACAATTAATATAACATAATTTATGTTCCATAGCCCCCAAACGATGTATTAAAAAAAGAGGATATAGACAAACAGTTAACTCGATTTTCCGAATTAAGAGATAAAGTTTGTTCAATTATTTGATATTTCAATATTCACTTTCGCTATAATACACATTTAAATCGTCTTTCATTATATTTAACCTTTTTACTATACGCATATCCTCAAATGCTGTTCCGTCCCGGAGAGCGTGTTTATAACATAATTTTATTCTAAGGCTTACACTTTTGCCAGACCTAACGGTCTATTTTATATTTTATACCGCGACTGCAATTCCGGAGGTTCAATGTGCCTCAACGCCGTTCTAGCGGATTAAGCGTACAAAGGTAAAGCGAAATTTAGGTATTTTACTAGAAACCAGACGCGACAGATGGGACCCACTTGTGACAGACCCAACAAGCGACGGACGGACGACACTTATAAATCACGTCATCGACCATCAGAAATCGGCTCCTTGACAGTTTCCTACTCCTTAGCCAAAGGTCCTTATGTCACACCCTCTGTCCAATTAAAACTCTTTACCTTTCCACCACCAACATCTATTTTACCCAATCAGAACTAAACTAGACAAAACTCCGGACCGAACACGACGAGACAGGACTTACAGCAAAATCGACGAGTCAGTTCGTCTTCGGCACCAATCCTTCAAACATCTAAATTGCATATACAAACGCGTGTTCGAAACGGTACTCCGTTAACGTCCCAATATAACTATTCTACACTTTTCACTAAATAAACACTCTCTTCGACCACACACGATTTGGATCCTTATTATTTCAACTAGTCACGCAATATTAAATTGGCGCGTGATAAGCGTTCTTGGAAATCGAAGGGATTCGATACCGTAGGACGCTACAAATACTTTATCACTTGCTACAAATATATATGTATATTTTCTGTGACTTAGAATTATCTTTACTTCCACTTATATACATTATATTCTATATTTAATTATATGGAGTATTTAAAGTTTGCAAATGATGTGCAAAGTGGTATCCAAAGGATTTAATTTTTCTCCATTTTCTCTTCTAGAGTTTTTCTGGTATTTTTTAAATATCAAATATCAGATGACTTGAACGTTATTAATTCCATAAGAGCACGTTTTATTATTTGAAATTAATTACAAAGAATACTATGTTGTCGAATTTGATAATTATGAATTCAAAGATATGAAAGAGTGATTTACGAAAATTTCTATGATGCAATAGTACGAATGGAACATTTAAGTAGGAAATGTATTCTATACAATATTATACACAAAAATAATTATGCAAAATTAAACCATTAGTAATTAAACATAGGTAACATAATGTTTTTTGGTAGAGGAAAGAAGCCTGTTGCTATTAAAAGTATAGTTCTATCCTAACAAAGAAAGTTATTGTGCTATTAAGATGTACTGATGCATAAAAGTACATAAAATTAATATAAGTATAGTTTAGTATGTATATCAGTACATCCTCGTACAATTTAATTTTATTTCATAAAATGTTTTCTACGTTAAACGTACATAAACGTGCTATCTGTTATATTATGCATGTACGATATTTCATGATTTACGATATAAATGCAACGTAAATTTCAGCATGTACGAAAACTACAGAATATTCTTTATCGAGGAGTAATTACAATGTTTATTGTTTCCCATAATTATACAAGCTTTATTAATCATTCCAACAATTTATACGAAGAAAATTTATATAATAATAATTATTCTATGAGATTTTATCATTTTTGTTAAATATTATTTATTATAGAAACCTTTATACTCCTTACTGTATTATTTAAATTTTTGAAAACACACGAACCCTTGATTTTAAAATATTTATCCAAAATTAAATGAAATTGGAATGAACAAAAATATATTCGAAACGTTATCATTTGTATATAATATAGTAGGATGGCGAAACTGGTCTTGAGACACCGAAAATTCACGAAAGAACAAGAACACAATAACACAAACTCAAAACTCGTAAACTGATTTAACTTAGGGAAATAACACCAAGATAACGAAAACACACAAAGACGCACTCTTTTAAAACTCTCTTTCCAACACCAAGCGACTCACGCTTGTGCTGGTCACAACCGATTTCCAAGGACTCTGTTTTGGTTGTCAAGGACCATGCTTTTATGCTTTCCTTAACCTACGCTTCACCTCCCCGTAAGGGAGTCACGCAACTTAATTTTGTTATATAGAATAACTTTTTGATTTGCTTCTAGAAGATATCGATCGGTTTACAATTTGTTTTTGTTGGCAATAGCCGATTCGCGATTTCCTTTGGTATCCTACAATATTGTCAGTAATAATAATAGTAATAATGGTAATAACGATATTTGTAGATGTTTAGTAACAGTTAATTAATGAATAATCCACGTAAGAGTACATTCAAAGGTGCACCATAATTTACAGAAAATTGTTTATCTTGCAGATATTCCAACACCAACGACACAACCCAGAACTACAACAACTACTCCAGTTCCCACTAGCGAAGAAGGTAAACGCACATATTGTATTAACATGTACCTATAATTAGTGTTACAAGGAAATATGCTAATTATGTTTCAATAAACAAGAAATTTCATACAATTTACTTCATGATTATCTAATCTCTTCAATTTCCTCGAGTAGACATCTTCGAATTTGAGAAACCTTCGATTTATACAGAATTTTATTGATACTCTTACGATGAAACTGTGATTAATATACATTACATGATATCATTGGAAATGTATGAATTTTAATTATATTATTTCATGAATAATATTATGCTATAATCTATAGAAACAAAAATACAGATAGTTAAATTCTGTTTAATTTTTAGTTGAAAATATTCAAAATTCGCGACAAAGGCCACTACCCAGTGTGCAGCCAAGTCCACATCAAATAACTGATTCGTCGTTGCCTAACATCGGAAGAACCGATGGTAAGTAGTTTCTTATATTGTTTTTAATACTTTCTAAGCTTTTATTGTTGAAACATGTATAATTCATTTGCATTGTAACAAAGAATAGGAACATATTTAAACCTCCGTCGAAGATAATCAATTTAGAACTTTTTGAATTGTTAGTAAAATTAAGATGGGTCAGAAAAGACCCCAAGTGAAAAATTTTTGTCTCAGTAACAATTTTTGTTGCTATTGTATCATGTCGATCTGTAAAATTTTTCTTTTTTTTTTAATGCAATGTTAAAGGCTGAGAAAGAAACAAATTTGTGTAAATTTCATTATAGAATAGTTTTATCTGTAGCTACATCTTCGTTTTACGATATATAAATACAATATAATTTGCAATTCTTTTTTTACAATTTACATCGGATTTTAAATAGTCGAAAGTGCCATAGGTCGATGAAGGTCCTAGATTAATTTTATCAAAAGCAGTTATGTTTTTTGGGGACTGAAAGATCAAAATATTTCAAATGTCATTTTGACTCTTTCAATAGTTTTAGTCATAACTATACATGTACCTAAAACTGAGTTTTCAAAACAATTGAGAAAAATTTCTCTTCGAAAATCGATTAGATGCATAACATTTTTTAAACAAGAGTGTAATTATTAATAATTAAATTACATTTCAATCTCATGAAATAATACTTTCAATCTAAATTAAATAGTAAACGTTTTATTACACCACTTGGCAAAATAATACTTTCTAAATTTTCTTTGTCTCGAATAAGCGGAATTTTTACTTTTTATTTCGTTTCTATATTAAACGTCTTTAGATATCATTTTCAACAATTCTGGCTTTCGTTTCAACGTTACCATTGTACATTCTAGCAACAGTTGCGGTATTGTCGAAACAAGTTTGAATATTCAAACGCGTGCACTGGCGCTTGCAAGCCGCGGAACTTCCTAAATAAAAATCGAATTAAACTTGCCGTCCATAGTATTAGCGCAGTCAGATTTTAGCTACGTCTAGTCGTATATTTCCCTAAACTTCATGCGTTATTTCTTTTTCTTTCATCGCCAAATTTATCCTTAAAATTAATGTAAAATTAATCGAATAACTAAATTCGTCACATTCGAGTCGTTCCACTTTCACGAATCTCATGAAAATGGAAATAAATTGAAAAATGCATACATAGGTAAAAATATTCGATCACTTACAGTTGCTACGCTTAATAATTGAAATATTTATGACACTGAAGCATAATTTCATTAGAACACAATAAGTAAGCTTAATATACAGTGTAAATCAATATAGTAAATTTAATATATGTTATCTAATGTAATTACCTAATGTACGATACTAAGCTTTAAAAACCAGAGACAACTAGCCATATACAATAGTAATCAATTTGAACTTGGAATATGTCCATTATTGTGTAGCACTTCAGTTTTAACCCTTAGTTGATGATACCTAGATCATACTGAATTTAAATGCAATGAAATTCAATATGTTAAGTACGCATAGGAAATCATCAAAAGCATTGAATCAAGTACTATATAGCATAACAAAAGTTTGTACGTAGCAGGTATTCTATGAAAAGCATAACCTGATTTGTATAAATTGCCAAAATTGGTGATAAATATTTTTTATTTATTGAAAGTCAAGGACTATGAAAAGAAGTAATAAGCAAAAACGAAATAGGTCTGAAAAATGAAAAAATACGTTATTTAATGATATCTATATGGAATGAGATATGTTTGTAGGATATTTTTTAAAATAATCCTAATTCTGTAAAAATTTGCATCCTGGGATAAAAGCTGGAATAAGTAATTTGGTTTGACTAGCATGAATTTTCAGTTTGTTGTCGTACTGACTCAGTATTAGAGATTTGGACGGCTGGTTATCCGACGGATTAACGTAAATCGTTGAGGGAAAAGTTATGTGTGTTATTAACTATGTTGGCGAGACTGTTTATGGCCCAGTTGAACTGCAGCTTTGATCTTCATGATTTGTATACTATCGCTATATCATAAACTATTCTAAAGACGCTAAGAGTAACGATTTTGTTAATAGAGCCAAAGGGTATGCTTTTTCAATGTCTAAAATTTATAAAAATATATAAATACAAAAAATTTGAAAAAAGTTGTCTATGAGTTGTTTATGAGCCAACTGAACTCTAGTTCTGATCGTTTTCATTTGTGTTGAAGTAGAACATTCGTTATATGGACTAATTGATAGATAAAACTATTCACATAAAATAATGTTCACCTAATAGTTAGTGTCCATTTTAATTCATTAAACAAAATGTAATAAAACGAATGCAATTTATCTAAGATAACACTATTAATAAAATTAAAAATCAAAAATGAAACGATATTGTTTTAATCTCCCTTTCTTCAACGAAAATTTAGGAAATCAAATCTATTATAGTTAATTTTGCAATCCCATACTTCGTATTCAATTTCTCACACATTCCTCGTGTTTAACTTTAATGATAAGTTATATCTCGTCTTCCTCAAATTGCGGTGAAGGTACGATATAGTGTTATATCATACAATGATTATTACATTATTATAATAACATTAAACTGTAATGAAAATTTTATCTAATTATCAATATAATTATTATAAACACTGTAAATTGATTTCATCATATAGCAGGAAATTGACAATTTGGATGCCTATATATAATGTTGCAATTGAAAATATATACTTTATTTACATAACAAAGGGTCTGCTGTGTTGCTAAATTATTATTAATATTACAACTACCGCGAATCGATTTTATTCTACAGAAAGAAATTAACATTTTGTGTTTTTACATACATGTAGGATTGGGATGAGTACGGCCCTGAAAAAATGTCAAAAGTGTTTAGGCTTAGAACGAAAGTGATCACGTGCAAGAGGATTGACTGCAAAGAATATTTATGATAGAGTCTAGTGAGAGTTTAGGGATGCGTCCGGAGTGGTTGAAGTACTTAGCCCACCGAGGTTGTATGGGAAAGGAGCATGATTGAGAAAGAAAGCCTGGGTATGAAAGAGGACAGAATGAATGGTTTAAATAAGGGTGCAAGGGCGCGGGCGAGTCAGTGTGTAAGAAAGTCCAAGTCAGTCTAACAGTTCAGTTTAAGACAGACCATCAGTCAGTCCAAGAAAGTCAGTCAAAGACAGTGTATCAAAGTCTAAAATCAGTTTAAGAAAGATCAGAAGAGCGTGCCCATAGCGAATTTCTTTTGTCTCGTGGCCAGCTGTTGTCATTCTATTTATAAGCTTATTTTATTGTATTAAGAATCCAACAATACTATCTCAAGTCAATCCACCCAAAATCCGATCCTACATACAATACTGAAATTGAAAGTTCACTGTCCATTTACGTAACGAAAATGTCTTTATATTTCTAAATTATTATTTTTAATATGCATACCGTGGACAGATTTTATTACTCAGAGTGAAATTAACACTGTCCGTCTATGTATAATACCGTGATCGAAAGTACGCTGTTCGTACAAGACATTCACAACTAGAAGGTTCCTTGGTTCCTCCAAATTGCAAATTATTTTTAGAACGATAAGCCTCGGAACTTCGTCAAGAGATTTGTTAAGAGAGAAAGAACACCTTCAGAAATTACAGAAGCAAGTTCATTTCAACTATTCTGTCCGTTCCAGTGTTAAAACCCTTTTCAATCTCGGTCTCCAACTCCTCTTTCTTACCGGGTTCAATTATAGAATTTGATCAGGAAGCGGAAGGCAAATGAAAAGTAGAAACGGCTGGCATATTTTCGTGTAAATACGTTATTCCGCTTAGAAATTCCCCGTGAATTTCCTTTTAAATCATCACCTGGCTGTAATGCGCGAACTTACGCACAGCGGGGTGAGAAACTTTTTGAAGGGAAGTTCGAGAGAAGGCGTGAAATTTACCCGCGAACTTTCAGCAACGTGGCACGACGCCATAGATCTTCTCGAAAGGCGACAAACGCCGGGCGCCCCTCAACGGGATTTTGATGAAATCCCACGCGGTTTATGAACTACCACGTCGCCTCAGCTATGGAAAGTAATCTGATCTTTCGTTTGCAAAACTTTCAGCTCCTCTCCCGGCGTTTCGCATTCTTCTCTCTTCGATTGTAATCTGTCGTTCGAATAGAACTCGAAAGTTTACGATGCTGGCCCAAACGTTAGCCCTTCCCTAGTTATCCGCTTTTATGCGACTGTTTTAAGTGACCCTTAAACCTGACTTTATTTACCGATTCAGACTCGCCAATCGTGTCATGCTGTTCCTGAGTTTATACTTTCGTTAACGGCGTCCCTTCGTTTTAGAGAAACGAAGGAATTGTAGTCTTTTTCATCGAACGATTTGTAGTGAGTTCAAAGTGGAATGTTCAGAAAGGTCTGAGGAATTGGGGAAATTAACAGTGGAATTACCAGTGAAACAAAATTACTTGTTCCTGAAATTTTATTTTTCCAGCTACATTGAAAGCATACCGTGTCTTTTGCAAAAGTAAATATTAATTTTTATTGAAATAGGAATGTAACTGTATATATACTTTTTTACATTTATTATACCATCGCAATTATTTTTTTTTTCATATATATTGTATTAACATACGTGTTACAGATCGGTAGTATTTGTGTTGCAAGAAATAATTGGAGAAATTATGGATTTTCATGGAAATAATGTAGTATCGAACGTGATATGCAATACAACATAGATTGTCTCTATATTTATTATACGAATTCTGCATTATCTGAACACTTGGTTCAATTCTAATTGGTTCATTAACTCTTTAATTTTGAGAATTTCTTAATAAGTCGATTAATAATTCGAATACATTTTTATATTAGGAAAAAAGGATTTAAAATTTTGTTTCGAGAAGAAGAAAATTGCAGGTGTTAGTGAATTTATTTATAAAATAACTTCACCTATTTATCTATCTTTTTTATTCTTATATATACGATATATGAAGAATATTGTGTAGAAATATGGCGGCAATAGTATGTGTATAGATATGAACAGCACCTATCAGGAAATATCCGAAGTAGGAAAACCATAGAAATACAGTAAAGGAAGCAAGGCAATTTATCACGAAATAGTCGTGGTTTTCTGTAGGTTTTGTGTAGGAAATAGAGTTTTTAATTCTTAATAGAAAAAAAATAAAAAAAAAAGATTATATTATCATTCTTAAATGATCTTAGAAACGTATATATATAAAGGTCCAATTGTACATGTTCTGAGTATAACAATTATCGAAACAAAAGAGCCTTTTGTAAATGATAAAATATATGTAATCAAGATATATTCTGTTTTTCAATTATTATTAATTTCATTTTATGTTATTAATATTTACAGCATTTTTTATATTTTATTTGCTTCTATATTTTGTATAGTATATTTTTTGTAGTATAGTGTTCGATGAAATAAAAATTGTTAACTGAAACGAAAATTATTAATTGGAATATAAGATAAAGACACAGAAAGAACAATTCTCTTGGTGAAGTTACAATTCTACGAAAATTGTCATCGTTATTGAATATAAAAGTACACAGATATACTTTTAAAAAGATAACTAACTCCACTTTCTATAAAAATTCGTATACATTACGAACATTGAAGAAAAAAAAATTCATTTAAATAGACCCACGTTTTCCTCTAGTATTTCAAAGTACATTTATTAAAATTCGCTACTCGCTTGTAGTTATACCCCCAAGGAGGAGATGCTGGAAAATAAGTAAAGCGAATGAACTAAATGAAACAGGACTAATTAAAATACTAGAATATGTAAAGACGAATAATTATTACAGTGAGCAAACTGTAAACCAAGCATATAAATAATATCATATAAAATTTTCCATCTAATTCTTAACTACCCATCAATTGGTCATTAATACAATTAATAGTTTGTATTTGATCAATATTATTACTGAAGCATACAAATTAATAGCTGTTTTAATATAAAATATGTATTCATATTAGAATATAGGCACTTATAAAATTTTAGAACTTAACATTCAATTATTTCATAATTTTTCATTCAGTATAATTAATAGTTCGAATTTTCTGTTTAATAATCAAAGAGTAGTATGAGAAATATTAGTGACATAATATTCTTATAAATTAAAACAATTTGCTCATCCATCTTTTAACTTAACAAAATTCGTGCAGATATAAAACACTTTAAAGCATGGGATAATAGGAATATAAAACTTAAGATAATAATGGTTAGAATGAAATTAGGTTTAGGAATTAGGTTTAAAGGACAGATAGTGGCACGCATAAAATGTAGAGTTGAACGAAGGACATTAAAAAGAAACGAAACTAGGAAAGACGAATAATAAATAATACCTTTGGGAATTCTATCAAAGACTGTTTCCTATGCAGTTTTCTTGTCAGATTAGTAGCAAGTAACAATGAACATCGAACAATCGAACTTTGAAACGTATAAAACTTTTTGCCTATTATTAAAAACTATTCTCTCCCGGAACGAAAGAGCCAGTCACACAAATATTCCCAAAATCCTAATTAAAAACCGGAGATTACACGCGGCAACAAATACACGCACAAGCACCGTCAGGCTGAAATGAAAAAACAATACGACTTCGGAAGCATCAGCCAGTGTAAAGGAAAAAATCGATTTTTCGATAGAAAACAATTTTATCGTGGTCTCTAATATATCAATCACTTTTTCTCAGATATACGGCTTCGTGGCAGGGCGAGCAGCGGCAGCTACAACGATGCTGAAAACGCTATAGCAACAAAAGGACGAGCAAGCATCGACAGCGAGGTACGACCACGAAGAATCGACAACACGGCGCAATCGATGTCATCCAGGGGTTCTAGTTCGAATTTTCTGCTGCAATCTACAGCGGCCATCTGCATAATCCTACTATCTGCCCTGTCGTAGTCACGTCAGTGTCTACCAGCAAAAAGAACGGTTATTCGAGGAAAATCCTTCGGGGATCAAGATTCGTCCTGTTCATCGTCATTTATCTCATCCGCGAAAGGGATCAATTAATGGGTGTGCTTCGATGCCGCAAATTTATCGACAACCATTGCCTTCGCCGTCGTTGTGACTGAAATCAACGAAAACAATTTTTCTCCCACCAAACTTGCCGATAAGGTTTGCAAATTTCCTGACTAATTCAATCTCTAGTGATAAACTCGAATGCTACCATCGGCTATTCCACCAAGCGATCACGTCTTTGCGTACTCGCGCAAGTTCATCGATTGCAGCTATGACTCGAGAAATTCTATCATCTATAATAATCCTTCACTGTTTTGTTAAGTATTTGATTTATTTTTTGGCAATCGTTTGTGATTTCGTACAAAATTTATCGTTCATCATTCGATCTTGACTGTTATGTAGCCCTCTGAGTATTTTTAACCCTTCCGCTATGAATGATTTATACAGGACGTTTTGTAATATGAGCCGTTCACTGCACAAATCGATTAACTCCACTTTTTGAAAAATTTTAAATATAAAAAGTTATGACTATACCAAGTGTTTTGACACTTAAATTTAAAATTTTTCAAAAAGTGAAGTTAGACGATTTGTACAGTGAACGACTATCAGTTCACATATCTGTGAAGCTCGGTTGAGGTGGTTTCTGTACATTGAAATAAGGAAAAAATTGTTTTTGTAAACGCACATTATTATGACTTTTTTTAAAGGTGCAATTGGTTTTCGATTAAGATTATTATATTCAAAAATTTTGGCATATGCATGGTGTGAAAAATAAATAATTAAATAATATTCGCAGTTTCATTGGGATATAAAAGTGTTTATAGAGTCATTTGATTCAATGATCTTCAAATTATACGGAATTAAATTACTAATTTAACACAACTCTAGTGCGGTTTCATTTATATATATACCTGTATGTAAATGACCTGTTGATTAAAAAGAAGGTTGTAACGGTATACGCTTATGCGAAATTTTTTCATTGTTTTAGTGTGCAAAAACTGTACGTGTATACTAGTCCAGCACCCAAATGTTTAATATACTTGTTACAAGTGCATATATACATTTTCTATACAATAAAATCTTATTTATTTTTATTTATAGTTGCTCGCGAAGGTATTTAAACGCTTGCTTTTCATACTTTGGTCAAATAAAACATTTCTTTTAGAAATAATAATACACCTAAAGTAAAATACAAGTGTTAAGAACGTGTAGATGAAGACATTAAAAAATCTGGAAACTGTCGAATATCGATAGTGAATAATAAAACATCGAACGTTATATAAGTTTATGAAGTAATCGAATATATAAGTTACGAATATATAAGTTTATGAAGTAATTGAATAGGTAAAAGTAAGGAAACATTAATATTTGCAATTCTAAAAATGCTTGTTAATCCTAAAAACGGTGCAAGTTGACATACTGATGTTCGAATCTATAACAAATTCAGATTTTCAAATTAATAATTGGGTATTGAGTAACAAATTCCTTGATTTTTATTTAAACGAATGATATTTGTAATCAAAGAAATGATTTTCTTCGAATTTTTTGAATTTTTTTTCGAATTTTTTGCAACCATAGTTTAAGATATGCTTATACCTGTACATCAAGTGTTTCGCAAATTTAGTATTTGTAGTCGAATTTTTTCATAATCTTTTCATAATTTTTCACATATTTTTGTCATATGTATCTTATTCCGGGTGCAGTATTATTTCTAAAGCCCGAATTCAACGTATATTTTATTTGTCAAAAGCTTGGAAAACAAACCAAGGAATTATTCTCGTGAGCGACTGTATGGGTATTATATCGTAATTAATTATGGTATGTGAAATATTTAAATCTTCATATCCATACGTTTTTCCTTACAAGATTATTTCTTATGTGTATATCGAAACTTGTTTCAATTCCTAGAATATCACAATGAAAGGGTTAAATTTATTCTATTATAATTCGGTATTTGATCTCTATTAAGTTGGCAATAATTAATTAATTTTCGATTTATTTACAACTTGTATTATTTTTAATTGTAACTTATATTATCGAATATTATGAGATTTCTGAAAAAAATTTGTTCCTAAAATAAATCTTTATTCTCTACGAATCAAATATTTTATGAAATATTTTATATGACTGTTTACTTAATAACAAATTGACGGTTCTGTTTAATTTATCTAGATCGAATTTATTTATAAATATATCGAGTTTTATTAATTTTATTAAAATTTTATTAATTATTAGTTTTATTTTATTTATTTTTAATTTTATTAATTATTAGATTTGTTAATGCAACTCGACACCAATATTCGTATAAAATTGATTTGCGTTAATACCCACTTTATCACATTGAGATTCGTTAAAGTTGGTTGCCTGAAGACTTTAAAAATTAATGCTTCTTGTTATCTTCGTTCCTCGTCATTCTTACTCGGCAACAAGAAAACCACGATCACTGAGATCGATTCAAAATTTATCGACTCGGTCGTCTGATATAAACAAAAGGAACTCCTGAATAATTATACGAAACAGAATTCGTTTTATTTTGTCAGCCGTATCTGCTTGTTTTTAATTATCTGAAGCCTTAATTATTACAAGGATGGGGTTCGTAAATATTTTTATACGATAGAACCACGTTAATTGAGTGTGACAGGATTGCGTTGAGAATCAGTGAATGCAAATGTGTCAGAAATAAAAATAAAAAATACATTGAATAATAATGTAAAGCATAAATTAAATTTTTCTATTTTCTATTTTCTCGGGTGAAAAAATTAACGAATTAATCCAAAACGTGCAATTATCGTGGCTCTATTGTAAATCAATTATAATCCATTATTAACGAGTCATATTTTTTCATTTAAATAATTTGTGTTTGATTCATGATGAAGGAATATGTGATACACAAATATGTTGGTAATTCTGAAAATGGTCTATGTCAAAAATCCAAGAGGTAATGACATTTTTACTTACGTATTTTGTATTATATCCATTTATTTTACATCAATGTCAGATTTATCAAGGTAGTAAAAAGTATAAATTTCAGATTGTGTTTGCAGTTATGTAAAAATTAGATTTTTCGTGTCAAATTCTTAATATTTCGGAATGAAACGTATTTGACCTAGACTATTTTCATAATTGTCGGCAAAAATATAATTCCAAATGTTTTATACAACGAAAGTTTGATAAATCAGTGTACTTTTAAAATATCTTTCCACTTATTTTAAGTACCTCGAGCAAACGTATTTAATTACAAGAAATATCGTTGAAAATGTTTTCCGACCGTAGAATTCGTTTTTCTTTACTAACTTGTAGAACACAAGCAAAATACGTAAATATGACGTTATGGTCGAATAACCATTACTATACAGAGATAAGTATTTTTGTATTTCCCATGTCCGAGGTCTTATTTATTTAAAAAATAGCTCATAAAATTAAAATCGTTATAGCAACGCATTTTCAACGAATAGGATCTTATGTGTTGCACATTTATACAGAGTAATATAAATACAATCTTAGGTACTAACTTCCCTTTCTGATTTTTGATTAAAATACAATGATTATTGAAAGCTAGTTTTTATTTCTTTCTTTTTGTTCTTTCACTACATTTTAATTTTAAATTTGTTAGGAGATTCTAATTCAAGCTTCTTCTAACTTTTTTTGATGTATCCTGCTTTGGAATTTTGCACTTCTAATTTGGAATTCGTGTATTTAATTCGATATTATTGGAATGAAAGGAAAAGATAAATATACTTATGTGTTTCTTAAATCATTAGACATCAAAGCTAATTTCACCTGTGGCTCTTTTTATGAGGATTATTTGGAATATACCAAAACATGCTATGAAAACATTTATTTCTTTTAATAACTCTAAAAAGTTTTTTATTTTTATCATATTTCTGCAAAAATATAAACTGCCATTTATTAATTAACAATATTGACCATATATCTCGTTAGCAATTTTTAATTTTTCAACTGTTTAATGTGTTATATAATTAAGTTTCCGACTATCTCATATCTTTTTTGATACATAATTTATTTAATTATACAGGCCATCTTAATTTACACGCCGTGCAGAATTCTAATCAGTTTTTTCGTGCGTACCACTCCCGATCTGTGTTTCAATTAAACGTTAAGAATTAAGATACACGTAGCTAAAATGTCATTTTTAACACAGCTTCAGAACATTGTTTTTTTAATTATCTCTTTAGAACTTAAATTTAATTTTGTTTTTTTCTAATTATTCGGTTATTTTTAGATGGTAAAATTAATGAGTATTTGAAAAATAAATGAAGCATAAATTATTTTTCCCTCCTATATTTAGATTTCGTATTTTGAACGCGATGCTTTTGTTAAAAATTAATAAATAATTAAATGATATTGAACAAATTAATAAATGAATAGAAATTTTGGATTCAAAATTGTAAAATTTATTCAAATAATCAATATTTTGTATCTAAATCTTTTTTTTTAAGGCGATAATGCTTGTTGATCATGCTGAAACATGAAACAAACATTGTAAGAGAATTTTCAGTTCGTAACTCTCTATATGAATATCTTACATCAACGAATCTGTCAATGATAATTTGATCAGTTATTTCTTATATCATCTGAAATATTTATATTTTATTTATTTCTTATTAACAAAATTTGCAGCACTTTTATTTCTCCTATTCCTCGTGAACCTTATTCAAAACATACTTGTATTTTATTTAATAAAATAATGTCATCTGCAACAATTTTGTTTTCTTAACTATTTTTCATTAATTTCTTTTATAAACATTATCCATACACGACACTTCGTTTCATTTTTCGAAAATTTTTGTACGTCGTTAGACCTCGTCACGAATACTCGATTGAACAAATTTTTGAAGACAGAAGTCTAATTGAGCAGTGCTCTAAAATGAAAAAGCGTTCGGAAGAATTTTTATTTGCATCATCCTCGAGTACCATAT